TAGTATTCCCACTAGCTTTTATTTCTGCTTTATATGCAAATTGTATGACAGTGTTTGTTGAACTGTGCATAATTTCAGCTCACATAATGTGGGCTTCACACTTACAGTTTTCTTAAATTAATGGCTTTGTTTCCAAAGTAAAAGAACTAAAATATAAACCTCAATGAGGACTAAGTCTTTGATGAAAATTGAAAATAAACAAAATAAAGATTCAAAAAGTTATCTTCTCTCATGACTAGGATAGATACTCCTGCAAAACAAGAATGCATCTAATAAGATATGAAAACGTGACCCATTAGAACTAGGAAGGAACCTGAGAACCCAGCTAGGTGTTTGCAATTTCTATTAATTCATTCATCAAGTATTTATTGAGTGTCTACTATGAGCCAAGCAAGGTCTAACAAGGGTAAAGTAATTGAGACTCATAGAGTTGTGGCGACTCATTCAAGCACACCCAGCTAGAAAGAGGCAAAGCCAAGACTCTAGTCCAGGTCTTCACAGTCATGTTCACTTCCCCAAGTATCAGTTTCTTTATCTCTTAAAAACTAAAATGAGAACAATACAGTCGATTCTTCATATCTGCAGGTTCTGCATTCAAACAATCAGATTGAAAATATTCGGGAAAAAAAATTTTAATACAACAGTAAAAAGATACAGATAAAAACAATACAATTTAACAACTGTTTACATAGCATTTACACTTTCTTAGGCCTCATAAGTAATTTAGAGCTGATTTAAAATATATGGGGGCCAGGTGCAGTGGCTCACACCTGTAGTCCCAGCACTTTGGGAGGCCAAAGCAGGCTTATCACGTGAGGTCAGGAGTTCAAGACCAGCCTGACCAACATGGAGAAACCCCATCTCTACTAAAAATACAAAAAATTAGCTGGGCACGGTGGTACATGCCTGCCTATAATCCCAGCTACTCGGGAGGCTGAGGTAGGAGAATCACTTGAACCCACAAGGCGGAGGTTGCAGTGAGCTAAGATTGCACCGTTGCACTCCAGCCTGGGCAACAAGAGCAAAAGTCTGTCTCATAACTAAATAAAGTATATGGGATGATGCACAAAGGTTATATGTAAATATTCCATTTCATATAATGGATTTGGGCATCTGCAGATTTTGGTATCCTCAGGGGCAGTGGAAGTAATCCCTCATGGATACCAGGGCATGACTGTATTGTCTAATAACAAGTATAATTATCTGAGCACTTATGTGCGAGGAACTTTGGTAGACATTTTATGTACATTAAGTCCTCAAAACAACTAGATTGTTTTTTCTCCCATTTTACAGATGAAGAAGCCTAAGCTTAAAGAAATTAAATAATTTGTCTCAGGTCACATTGCTGTTAATTTGTGAGCAGAGATTTCAATACCAGTCATATTAATCCAGAGACCATACTTTTAATCTTCAGTAGGATTTGGGGGTGGATCTTCATTAAATATATGTCCCAGAACCTTACACAGAGTAGATGCTTAGTGCATATTTGTTGAATTTAAATAGTAAGGATATAGCTAATTTGTACAACCAGCTAATGTCCAGCAACTTTTTCCAAGCCAAGCCGATATCACTCTGATGTACTAAAAGCTTCTAATGAGAGCATCCACTGTCAATTACATAAGTAAACCACAACATGGGAACAAAATGGCCAGCACATGGATGCAATTTGCTTATTTGCTGATTAGTATGAGGTCCATCCCAGCAGATGTCAGGATGAATCCCCATTACTATAACCATAAACTGTCGTGTTAGACCTTGGCTCCAAGGGCTATTTTCTGCCTTCCAATGACACTGGTAACTAAATGACTGTACAGTTGCTACTGAGCAGAGATGTCTGGAATGAGACCACGCTGTCCAAGTAAACAGAATGGTCCAAGAAAAATGAAAGAAGAAGTGATCACCTGGGTTGTGAGAATGGAAATGGTAAAGTAGTTTGACAGTTGGGAAACACTTAGCCCAACTGCTGATGCATGGAAGGTTGATACTTCCAAAGCAGGAACAACATGGGACGTTGGGCGAGGCAGATGGCCATACAGCTGGAATGCTAGTTTCTACTTCCCTGATGCTTTTTTTATTTTCTGACATTCAGAGCAGAGCCTAGTATGATGATCATGATCATGATCATTATGTCTATGGCGGAGTATATTTTGAGCATTATTGGCCCTGTTTTTCTTTAGGAAAGAGTCAGTATAACCTAGATATTGGGAGCACATGCGGTACAGTCAGGCAGACCTAGTTTCAATTTTATCTCTAGTTCAGGATCTGGGTACAGAGTAAGTTCTCAGACTTTATCTACCTCTATCTTATGATGAAGACTCTGAAAATTCACAAAGAAAATTTATTTTTAGCCTTTTTCATTGAGCCCCTAATGCAACATTAGGTATGTTTTGATGCCCATTAATTACTAATTGGCTTCTTAATTATGAGCCAAATATTTAGAGAGGTTGTCATCAAATATTAATTTAGAGAGGTTGAGCATCAAATATTAATTTAGAGAGGTTGTCACTAGTATGTTCATTTGAATTTAGTTCCTTTAATTCCTTGTCTGATACCTCGCTTTCTACCTTACGGCTAAGAATTTTCTGTAGCTCAGTTATGATATTTTTCAGATGAGAAATATGTTCAAATGATTTGATTCTGACTTGTGAAGTTATCTCAAAGAACAAACAGGCAGAGGTACAAAGTTGAAATAATAATTATACATGTATTAAATGAGCTAACCTGGAAAACGAGCAATCTATGAAATGAGGACTCTCCTGGGACACCCAGTACTTATGCCACACCTTAAAGCATGTAGAAAGGTTTTCATTATCCTCATACATTGCCCAGAATCAAGCATTGGTTGGGGCTCAAATCACACATGTGACCCCACATGGCAAGAGCGCTCTTCTCTTTCCTGTAGCAGAGCACAGCCATGGAAGATGAAACCCTCATTGTACGTAGGATCCTGAAACAGTGACTGTGACCAGATGCAAAGGATGGGAAATTTAATAAGCTGAATGCCTTGGAAAACTTGATCTCCTAGCACTGGCTCAGGAAATTCAGTCTTCAGAATCCAGCTGAGTCCTAGCTTTAAAAAAAAAAATTGCTTTCATAAATGAAGATCTAATGGCTGGGTGCAGTGGCTCACACCTGTAATCGTAGCACTTTGGGAGGCTGAGGTCAGGATTTCGAAACCAGCCTGGACAACATGGTGAAACCCTGCCTTTACTAAAAGTAAAGAAAAAATTAACCGAGTGTAGTAGCAGGTCCCTGTAATCCCAGCTACTCAGGAGCTAAGGCAGGAAAATTGCTTGAGCCCAGGAGGCAGAGGTTGCAGTAGGCCAAGATCATGCCACTGCACTCCAGCCTGGGTGATGGTAAAACTGTCTCGGGGAGGGGGGGGAAAAAAAAAAGTGAGGGTCTCCAACTCCACTTTTTAAAAAATTACTTTTTTTTCCCCCATTACCCATTAAAGTGCTTAGGTCCCCAGGAGGGGTCTGAGTCCTTGTCCAAAATATTTTTCTTCTAAAAGGGGGCAGGGAAAAGCATTTGAGGATAACGTTTTGGCTACTCACTGTGGCCTGATGCCCTTCCCCGATTTAATCAAACCTGCTTGGTCTTCCAACCATCCCAGCTAACAAATGGCCCCACAAAACAGCAGTCATTTAAAGAAATGGATGGGGTAAAATTTAAAAGAACCATGCAAATGATCACAAAAAATATATATTAAAAACTTGAAATTAGTAAAGAAAACGTAAGCCTGGTTTGGAGCAATAGAGACTGTGTTCATCATTATTGATATTCAAAAGATTACCATGTATGAGTTTATCTTTTCCTTTTAATGGAGCTCTCAAAAGCCATGACAGAATGTGTTCTATATGACTGCCCAAGGTCAGCCCTTCAAACAATTGAGATTGCTTTCATACAAGTCAACTTTAAAATTCATTTCTCTAGATAAAATTGGATGGCATTATCAAAGCAAAAAGTGGGATTGTTTCTCAACGTGGAAAGCTTTGAAATAAAAAGTGTTTGGCAATAATAGGCGAGAGGCTCTCTGACAGCATTGTGCTGTCTGAGTGTGTTTTTAAAGGACCCCAATTTTTCAACAAAGGACATCAAAAGAACACCACTACAGTGCAAGCCTGGATTTCTCTGTAGTGGGGCTGGGTAAGAAACAGTGCATTTCAAGTGTCTGATTTTTCTGGCTATTTCTAGGAAACTTTAAAAGTGCTCATACTTTATGCCTGGGATAGCATAAAGTCTACTTCTAGAAGCAGAATTGAACATAATGTATTTTGGGGTGGTGAACAGGAGAGAAAACATTCTTGAGAGCAATGTCTGATCTGCCATCTCAGTGGAAATCAGTACAATTGAGCATTTCTGCCTCTGTCTACTCTGGTCCATGTGTGGTTCCAGTGTCCTGGAGAATGGCCGTCATCCAGAATCTATAAAAGCTGTGGTGGTGGCTTCTTCTGTGTGGCTTTCTTGATAATTGGTGGGACTGTAAGATGAGTCTATCTATTTTTAAACCTGCTGATCCTTCCCATTTCTTGTTCAATGGAATTAATCCCATAGGTTTCCTGGCATATGGATTGTTAGGATTCATGGTTTGCAAGCAATAGAAACTGATTCTGACAAACATTGGAGAAAAAGAAAGAAAAAGGAGGAGGGAGAATATGGTGTTAATATTGAGGAATGGCCAAAAATCCAGGCCTTAGAAAGGGCAAGAGCAGAGGGAATCTAAACATCTAATAGCAGGAACTAACAGACATTCTCTCCAAGACTTCCATCTCAGGAACCAGCACTGTGATCATTCAGTTCCTATCAATTTCGCATTTCCAAGGAAGAATCTTACTGTCCCAGCTTGATCAGGAATGAGTAGGGCCTTTTGATCGCCAATCCACTAAGATGCAGGAAATGCTAGAGAAATAGCTACAATGGTGGCTTTAGCTTTGGATTTCCAGATCAGTCTCAACGGATAACACTAATATTCTGAACTCTTCCTGGTTGTCTTTCAGTCATCAAGGAAGTTTTTTCCCATCACGTTCTTTGGCTCCATTACCTGGATTGCAGTATTCTCTTACTTGATGGTCTGGTGGGCCCACCAGGTAAGATTTTGATAGTGACATTCATCTGCCTGGTTTTTCTCCAGTCCTGATTGTCAAGTGTTTAATCATTGTGCTTGCTTTCTGCAACTGCCACAACAGTATTGGGTGTGACACAGACAAGTCAGCATTCCAGGACTAGAGGAATTTATCCACTTAACTTTCCCTAGTCTCCTGGCTGTAGCCTGGAATTGAATCAGCATAGCCTCTGGACAGCCATGTGGAGGCAGGCAAGTCTAACTACGTCTTACTTCTGCAGCCTGACGGACACCAGGACAACCCAGACCTGGGAGCAACGTCAAGATTGTGCCTGCTTCAGTAGTACTTACTTTATCTTGAGCAGCCACTCACCTTACATTCTCACCAGCCTTTCAAAACTGGCTCTAGGAAAGCATCTGGAGACAAAATAGCCTCTTCCTTGAGCTTTACTTTACATAAATGATTATGTATTTTTAACTCAATACAAGTCATAATGTCTATCACAAGAATACACTCTCAGTATTCGTTATTGAAAAACATGAATGAAGAGTAAGAGTCAAGGGTTTCACATTTTCAAAGATAATAGTGGTAACCATTGATAATTGAGTATGTACTACACACCCAGCAATTCACATCCCTTTGTCTTTATAATCTTGACAGTAACCCTATACATAGGTTCAAAGCCTATGAAGGAGGTACTATTATGATCCACAGTTCACAGATAAAGAAGTTAAGCTTAAAGCTGGTAAGATTACCCAAAATCACATAGGTAGAACTAAGATTTTAACCCAGGACTCTGCAACTCCAAAAATCATACTTTTAACCTCTCTTATAAACTACATAAATCCCAAACTTCCCACTTGTATCCTTTGTTTAATATAATCCTAAAATTATTATACTTGGCAACATAAATAAAATATAGCAATTTGAAATAAGGAAATATACACTGAGAACATACGTGAATAGACTTTTCAACAAATGGTGCTGGAATAATTGGATTTCCATATGCCAAAATAAATAAACTTAGATCCTTACCTCATATTTTACATAAAATTTAACTGAAAGTGGATCATAGTTTTAAGTATAAGAGGTAAAGCTATCAAACTTCTAGAGGACAGAAAAAAAAAAATCTGTATGACCATAAGCCAGGCAAAGAGTTCTTGGATACAATACCAAAGCATGATCCACGAAAGCAAGAACATTGATTAGATTTCATCAAAATTAAAACTTTTGCTCTTCAGGAAACACCATTAAAAAGGCAAAGAAAAACCACAGGCTGGAAGAAAATATTTGCAAATCATATATATCTGATAAAGCACTTGTATCCAAGATAAAAGCTTAAAGCTCTGTAATAGGAAGGCAAGCATCTTCAAGTATCCTAATTTTAAAGATCTGAACAGATATTTCACCGAAAAAGATACGCAGATGCCTAAAAAGCACAAGAAAATATGCTCAACATCATTATTGATTAAAAAAGTGTAAATCAAAACCATAACAAGATACCACTTTACACCCACTAGGATGGGTATAATAAAAAAGACAGAACCTAACAAGTGTTGATGAGGATGTATAGAAATTCGAATCCTTACATACTGCTGGTAGGAATGTAAAACAGTGCATCCACTTTGGGAAATAGTTTGGCAGTTCCACAAAACATTAAATATAGAGTTACCATATGATCTAGCAATTCCACTCCTAGGAATAGACTTAAGAGAAATGAAAACATACGTCCACAAACACTTGTACACAAATGTTCAAAGTAGCATTATTCATAATTACCAAAAAGTGAAAACAACCCAAATATCCATCAACTGATGAATGGATAAGCAAAATACGGTATATCCATACAATGGAATATTACACAGTAAAAAGAAATAAAGTACCAATACATGCTACAACATGAAACTCTAAAATATTATGCTAAGTGAAAAAAAGCCAGTCATAAAAGGACACATATCATATGATTTCATTTATATGAAGTGCACAGAACAGGCAAATCTATAGAGACATATAATAGGTTAATATTAATAGTTGCCTAGGATTGGGGAGGTTGGGGGGAAATGCGGAGTGACTGCCAGTGGGTATGGGTTTCTTTTGGGGATGATTAATAAGTTCTAAACCTAAATTATGAAGCCTGCACAACTCTGAATATATTAAAAACCATTGAATTATACACTTTAAAATGGCTAAGTTTTATGGTACGTAAATTATGTCTCAATAAACTTGTAAAAACTAATCACAAGATATCACTTCACAACCACTAGGTTGGCTATTAAAAAAAAGTGGCATGTGTTGATAAGGATGTGGAGAAACATGGCTGCATACATGTGTAAAAACTTGCAGGCTGCTTGCAGTGGCTCCTGCCTGTAGTCCCAGCACTTTGGGATGCTGAGGCAGGCAGATCCCTTGACCCCAGGAGTTCAAGATCAGCCTGGGCAACATGGCAAAACCCTGTCTTTACAAAAATACAAAAAATTAGCCGGCCATGGTAGCACATGCCTGTAGTCCCAGCTACTCAGGAGGTTGAGGGGGGAGGATCATTTGAGCCCAGGAGGTAAAGGCTGCAATGAGCCAAGATCACACCACTGTACTCCAGCATGAGTGGCAGAGCGAGACCCTGTCTTTAAAAAAAAAAAAAAGTAAAAACAAAAAACTTGCAGAACTGTACACTTTTTAAAAAGGAGAATGAGTTTTCCTCTATGTAAAGCATACCTTGGTTTTCAAAAGAATACATGTTACTGCCGGACGCGGTGGCTCACACCTGTCATCCCTGCACTTTGGGAGGCCGAGGAGGGCGGATCACGAGGTCCGGAGATAGAGACCATCCTGGCTAACACGGTGAAACCCTGTCTCTACTAAAAACACAAAAAATTAGCCGGGCGTAGTGGTGGACGCCTGTAGTCCCAGCTACTCAGGAGGCTGAGGCAGGAGAATAGCATGAACCCAGGAGGCGGAGCTTGCAGTGAGACGAGATCCCGCCACTGCACTCCAGCCTGAGCAACAGAGCAAGACTCTGCCTCAAAAAAAAAAAAAAGAAAAAAAAAAAAAAAAAAGAAAACGCTGGCTGATACACTGTCTTATTTCTGCAAGTTATTTTATATTATTCATATCACAGTTATTTTACTGACATTTGACTTCAGATTACTCTTCCTGGATATTTCCAAAAAATCATTGGCTTCCTGAGCAAGTTCTCTGTGCCTTGGAGTCATTATTTTCTATACTCATTGAGAGACATTTGCTACCAACACCTGGCAGAAATCACAGCAGAAGGTGGGCTGCTTTTCAGCCTCCAGATGTCCAGGCTGAAAGGACTGTTTGCCATTTATAACATATAATAGTTTTTCTTAATAATCATCTTTTATTTCTTCATATACTAATAAAGAAAAAATGGTGTTTTTCTAACTTGCTGCGATATGTTGTTTCCCAGATATTTCTTTTTTGCCATTTTATAAAACATCATTATTCAGGGTTCCATCTTTTTCTTTTTAATGATTACCTTAATTCCAGTCTTGTTTTCTTTTTATTCTTTCAAAGAAAAGGAACACAAATTCAATGCCTGAAAGAATAATTTTAAAAAGCCAAGGTGAATGAAAGGCATAAACGGAAGCCTTACTTTTCAATGATGGAAGAGAAGTTTCTCTTTTTTCCTATAGAAAGACTTCTTTCAAAACACCCAGACAGCTGAACAAAATAGATTCTGTTCCAAGAAGTCTAGCTCTAACTCTGTTGTTTGTACTTCTGAACTATAAAATCCATAGCAGTTACACCATTTAGTGTTCAACTCTTTTGTTATCAACACTTTTATCATAAATGCTATTTGATAATTTGGCTACTGTTTGGCAAAAAATAAACGTCCTTCACCTACAACGCTTTAACGCAATTTGCCCTTGGCTTTTTTTGGGTTTTTTTGTGGGTTTTTTTTTTGTTTTTTTTTTTTTTGCCTTTTTGTTTTTGTTATTTTTGTTGCTTATTGTTTTTGCACTTTAATGAATTTAATGGGTGATGAAAATCTGTGGTTAAAGTCAATCCTGCATCTAATATTAGAAGTTAATTTTAAGAGTCAAATAAGACCTTTTGTCTCATTTAGCCAATTAGCATTCTTTCAGATCCTCCTTAAACCAAGGCACAGAACTGCATTACGGAATACTGGGAGCAGCATGGGCCTCATGATTGGCTTTTTTTTTTTTTTTTTTAAGAAAATGAAAGAATTTCCCCAAAAGACTGCTGATATTCTTTCTATTGAAAGCTCTAAGCCTCTCTGGTGCTCCCTGATTTGTCAGAGTACTGTCCCGTCCATGTACCCATCATCTTTACTGATTTGACAAAAGTTAACTTGAGTGACATGTACTCAAAACAAGCTCATGAAGACTAGTTCTCCTTCCACGAAAGGATTTCTAGAGCCACACAGATTCACCAGGGCTTTGATGTCTAATGAAAATTCTCATGAAGTTTTCCATGATGTGAATTGGCCCCAGTAAGCCCATTTCTGTTCCTGCTACCAGACACCTGATAGTCTAATAAATTGGAGAGGGAAAGGAGTAATACCTGAGTTATAAAATCTAGTTTTTTGGCCAGGTGCAGTGGTTCACACCTGCAATCCCAGCACTTTGGGAGGCCAAGGCATGCGGATTACCTGAGGTCAGGAGTTCAAGACCAGCCTGGCCAACATGGTGAAACTCCGTCTCTACTAAAAATGCAAAAATTAGCCAGGCGTGGTGGTAGACGCCTGTAATCCCAGCTACTTGGGAGGCTGAGGCAGGAGAATCACTCGAACCCGGGAGGCAGAGGTTTCAGTGAGCCGAGATCACACCACTGAACTCCAGCCTGGATGACAGAGAGAGACTCCGTCTCAACAAAAGAAAAAAATTAAAATTAAGTATAGGTTTTTTTTTTTTTAACATTTACTTTATGCCTGACACTGTGCTATATGCTTCATTTGCATCATCACATATAGTCATCAACAATTCTGAGTGGATATTTTCATTTTACAGATGGGAAAAACCGAGACTCAGGGAAGTTGTCTACCTTGCACTAGGAGTGGCAGGCTAGGATTTGCACCCAGCACTGTCATCTTCCAAGCCAGTGCTCTTAACCACACCACCATCTTTCTCTTCTTCAATTCCTATGTTTTCCTGTATATAGTAGTGTTAAAACTCCAAATATGAATTATTTTGTTTATATTTTGGGGACAAGGTCTTGCTATGTTGCCCAGTCTGGTCTCGAATGTCCAGGCTCAAGAGATCCTTGTGCCTCAACCCCCAAGTAGCTGCGACTACAGTGCATGCCATTGCGCCCAGCAAATAATTTTTGAAACAGTCGCTACTTTAGAATTCCCTCCAAGAATTATTAAGAATGTTCTAAATAGATTGGAACTTGCCAACAGTGACAATTGTTTAGTCAGCATCTTCTCAGTCTTTGACAATGCTTCACTCCAAATCTAACAAACAATTGACAACTTTTGAGAATATTTTGCTCAAATAGGGCACTCCTGTGCAAAACTCTTATTGAACTTTTTCTAGGAGAATCAGCAGAAAAACATGCTGGTGAAATCACCTATGTATGCGGATTGATTTGCTTACTCAGCAAATTGGTACTAAGAGTCTGCCATGTACCAGGCTCTGTATGTTCTGTCAATTAGGGAGATCACAGTGACCGAGGTGAGGATCCTGCATATATGGAACTTACTAATGGGGAGCAGTGATTCTGTGTCCCATGAGGACAGGGTAAGCTAGTTAAGCTCATCAGGCTCTGGAGTAGGCATGATCATCAACATAAAAATATGCTTTTAAGCTAGTAGGAACCACTCTATTTCTTATAAAAATAAGAATTTTTTAAAAAGGGTTAAGAAATGAGTGTATTCTATTTCCTAAAAGCCTTTATCCTTATGTGCTATTTTGGCCCTTTAAATTTTTTCAAAAAATGCTGGACATCATCAGATAACCTATTGGAAACCAGATGGAAAGCATTATCTTGAAGGTTTTCAGAGCCACAGTTCACCAACTCCAGCAAAACATGTACAGGTTTTAAAAGTCCCAAGAGGCCAGGCACAGTGGCTCACACCTGTAATCCCAACTCTTTGGAAGGCCAAGGCAGGAGGATTTCGAGGCCAGGAGTTCAAGACCAGCCTGGGCAACATAGTAAGACCCATCTCTAAAAAAACTTAGCCAGGTGTGGCAGTGCTCACATGTGGTCCCAGCTACTCTGGAGGCTAAGGTTGGAAGATCGCTTGAGCCCAGGAGGTTGAAGCTGCAGTGAGCTATGGCTGTGCCACTTCACTCCAGCCTGGGCAACAGAGCAAGAACCCATCTCTAAAAATAAAAATAGAAAGTTTTTCTAGAAAGTCCCAAGGAGACAAATTGCTCAAGAGAATGGAGGAGCTTCCACCTGAGGCTAGACCAACCTTTCAAAATAGAACTCATCAGTTTTAAAAGGCAAAGACAAAGACCAAAAAAAAAAAAAAAAAAAGTTAATAACCACCCTCCCCTTGCTTTTCAATAATAATGTACTATTTACAAAGAGTCTTTCACAAATTATCATTTAGTCCTCACAAGTACCTGCTAAGTAGGTATTATTATCCCGAGTTTATAGATGGCAAAGTGAGGATCAAAGACACTGTACAATTGGTACAGTAAGCAAAATGTCAAGAAATTAACACATACCAGAGCCAGATCTTGGATCCAGGTCCTCTGATTTTCTGGCTTTTGCTTCTCCACAGCTGCTTTGCTGTGTGTTACCAAAACCCAAAACACCCAGCATCGAGTTTCCAGTGGAAATGATAGAATCTTGAAGTGTTTAAGAATGGGTTATAGACACTAGGAGATGCTAAAGGAAAATTGAGACCTTGGGTGTCAGTCCTTGGTTTTGGTAGTAAGTTGAAGGGCAAATCTGCCACAGGACTTTGTGCCACTGCCCCTAGATTCCATGGCCAATTGACTTTTCTACCTCTAATCCTGGAGCTTCCCTGACTCAGTCTTAGAAAGCACCATATAAACGCTGCACTCTAGCCCTCTAGAGCTCTTTATCGGAGATTATCTGTTTCTCATGTGAACATTCCTGATGCCTTGGGTCTGAATATCCTAAAAATATAAACTCTATTAGCAATGATTGCGGCTTATTCATCTTTATCATCTCAGCACTTCGCATAGCACAGTATGGAAATGCATTAAAAGGAGGTTGCATTGAAATTTTTGTGGTTTTTATGATTTTGTAACTTCAAACACTGAGATGTGTGTTCCTGTCCTGACATTTAGGTTGGAGAGACAATCGGCATCAGTGAAGAGATTATGGGCCTGACCATCTTGGCTGCTGGGACCTCCATCCCTGATCTTATCACCAGTGTCATAGTGGCCCGGAAGGGGTTAGGGGACATGGCTGTGTCCAGCTCTGTTGGAAGCAACATTTTTGACATCACTGTAGGGTGAGTAGAGATAGTTCTACAAAGGTGCACACCAGCTCCACCAGTGTCTTTGTCTTCTTAGAAGCTGCAAAGACATGACCAGGATCTCTGAGCCTACGACTAACCAATACCAATACAGAGTAAAGACTGAGAATACCATTTCATTTCCCCAATTCTATTCCTCATTTCAGAGAACTTAATGAAAAATAAGTCATCCCTAGACAAGCAGAAACACATACCTACATACAGAATGGATATTTTAGGAAATATTTTGGGAGAATTTCACTTATATAACAACATTCAAGTGGAACTGAGATATCATGTGATAGCTTCATGATAAGAATGTTCACATTCTAATTTTAATTCAAGTCCCCACCAGCCTAAGGTGAGATTTGGATTTTAAGGTAGATTGGGACAAACATAGGCCCACCATACATATCTTGTATCCTTCCTTGGAAAATACTGAGAATCTTGGCATTACCATTTCTTTATCCGCACTGGTGAAGATATTCTAGGTTTTCTGAAAGCCAGAAGGTGAGATCTGTTCTTACAATGAAACAAACGTGAGCGCTCAATATGAATAATCACTAAAGTGAATCGGATTGGGGTTTGGGGTGCTGTGATCTCTACCATTTTATTTAACTTGTCAAAAGTAAAAGTAGTCTGACAAACTTGAACATCAGTACCCTGAGAAATAAGATATAAGACATTATCCTTACGTTCCCTGGAGTACTGGGCTCCTAACACTTGAGTTTGGAACCTTACTGAAAGCACCTACTTTTTCATTGAGTATCTTATTGTTCTGTCTTGCACCTTTTCATTACCATATTGTTTTTCCTACAGTGTCTACCATGTGCACTGTGTGTATATTTTTCTCCATTTAAGCCACACAATAATCCTATGAAGTATTATCACCCCTATTATTCAGATAAAAATACTGAAAGGCCCAGAGTTCACACAACTATTAAATGCAGTAGCTAGGATTTGAACAAAGAGTCTGTGCTATCAATTGTAGCACTCTCTGCATAAAACTGTGCTGTGAGTGTCCACTGTCTCAATCACACATGAGCCCCCACTGAAGAGCTCTCCATGCTTGTCTGACTGGAAAACTCTGACTTATCCTTTCAATGACAACTTAAATCCTGATTTCTGATTCCCCTGGGCCTGACTTAGAGGCTCTTGTCCCTACAAACTCTCTGTACGTCTTACTCTTGTCCTGGTATATCTGCCTACTAGACTGTGCATCCCCAAGAGCAGTAACTCGTCAGAGCTTTGCTATCACTGGTAGTTGTTTGACACATGTTTGTGGAATGGATGGATGGATGGATGGGTGAATGAATGAATGCCTAAACAGTGTTTCTCAATTCTGTGGTCCAAATATTCATAGTAGTGTTCTTGATCAATCTCTAGTTTAAAAAAAAAATAATAGTAATGTTCTATAGTATATTATGAAGAATTACAAAATGCTTTTTGTTCATTATTGTTAAATTATATAAACACACAAATGGAAGTTTAAAGAAAAGTCACTCCTAAGTCTATCACTCAGAAACGACACTTCTTTTTTGTATGTTTTCTTCCATGTATTTCACAAAGTTTTCTTAGTAAAATATTCAGTTTTATCTGCTTGGAAGGCTTTTATTTTTCCATTTTAAAGCAATATATGCCTGGCAAGAAAGGCATCTATGAATAAATTAGTAAATCATAACCATTTTTCTAAGACTCTTCATAGCTCATAACTAACATTTTGTAGCTTCAAATTTTCCCTCGTTTTTCAGTGGCTTTTTCCTTTTCATTTATGGGATTTTTAAAATTTTTCTGCTATGGGAGTTTTGATGAACATCTTTATGAAGAAAAACCTCTTTCAATTGTTTTGTTAGGATAAATTCCTTTAAGCAGTATTAATGAACTAAATATTTTGAACATCTTAATGGCTATTGATGTATTTTGTATATTTCTTTTCCAAAAAGTTCTTTCCCAAGAATTTACACCAGCTTACAACATTTTTGACAATATATTGAGTGATGTCATTAGCAATATATTAAGTGTAAAAGTTTCTTCATCGCTTTGCCAGAATTTTCTTTATGCTTCTGAAATTAACATATACTCACAGATACAGAAAATAAAAATAAAGGTCCAGGGCGCAGTGGCTCACACTTGTAATCCCAGCACTTTGGGAGGCCGAGGCGGGCGGATCACAAGGTCAAGAGACTGAGACCATCCCGGCCAACATGGTGAAACCCCGTCTCTACTGAAAATACAAAACTTACCTAGGCATGGCAGCGTGCGCCTGCAGTCCCAACTACTCAGGAAACTGAGGCAGGAGAATCGCTTGAACCCAGGAGGCGGAGGTTGCAGTGAGCTGAGATCGCGCCACTGCACTCCAGCCTGGGTGACAGAGCAAGACTCTGTCTCGGGAAAAAAAAAAAAAAAGAAAGAAAGAAAAGAAAAAAAAAAAGAAAAATAAAGCTTAAAGATCAATAACTCACCACCCTTTTGAAATTCTTGTGTATTTCACATGATTGAAATTACATTGCTATTTGCGTGTATGTATGCATCTTTCATTTTTAGCTTACAATTGTATTATGGCTGTTTTCCTGTAGCATTCTAAGCTTGTGATTTTTAAACAGCTATATAACATTACATTTACTTATTTGCTATTTAACTAGTTCCCTGTTATTAGAGGTTATTAGAGATACTCAGTTTTTTATTATTCAAAATAACACCGAAATGATCATTTTCTGAGTAAAATTTAATCTGCATTTTCAGTTATTTTTATACTTAATTCCTGACAATAGAATTGGTAGACCAGGCCGGGCGCGGTGGCTCACACCTGTAATCCCAGCGCTTTGGGAGGCCGAGGCGGGTGGATCACAAGGTCAGGAGATCGAGACCACGGTGAAACCCCGTCTCTACTAAAAATACAAAAAATGAGCCGGGCGCGGTGGCGGGCGCCTGTAGTCCCAGCTACTCGGGAGGCTGGGGCAGGAGAATGGCATGAACCCAGGAGGCGGAGCTTGCAGTGAGCCAGGATCACGCCACTGCACTCCAGCTTGGGCGACAGAGCGAGACTCCATCTCAAAAAAAAACAAAAAACAAACAAAAAAAAGAATTGGTAGACCAAAAGGCATGAAAAGTGTCATTTTCCCCCGAAAGGTTTTTGCAAGCCATTTGTAGTGCTATTAAACTCAACTTCACTAGAAGCGTGTGTGTGTGTGTGTGTGTGTGTAATAAGAATAAAATTGGTTTTGGTTTTTTCTTCACGAGATGGAAGAAGAGTTTCCCAGACCAAGTCCCTGTCAACGGCTCTCAGTTTGGCATCACCGCCACTCTCAGGCCCTCCCCTTCCCTTTTCTGACTTTTCACTGCTGACCCCAGGATGCCAAGGCTGCCCCCTCCCACTAAGAACTGGAATTACCCCTTGTTCCCAGGCTGGGAACCCCTCCCCGACAAGTTCACAGAAGGAAGCCCCTCCTGGCCAGGCTCTAGTGGATAAAGTGCCTGTACTGATCCCCACAAGGCAGTAACATCGATCACTTCAGCTTGGCCCAGGTTAATATATGCACCCAGTTAGGGACTGCATGTGCCAGGCCTGGAATTTCAAAGATCCACAATGCATGGGCTCTGCCTTCCAATTCCCTCTCTCCAGCATAGGAGGCAGATCTATAAACTCACTGCCCCTTTCACCCTCATTATTTCTCTCTTCCTTTGGAGAACGTAATGTTTCAAAAGAGTACCTCCTCTTCCACACCCTGAGACTAGGCCAAAACTGAACCTCTCTTAGCTTTTGTCACTCAGAAAGCTCAGCCAGCCAAGCAGGTATCTCCTTAGCCACGATGCTGTCTTTAGGCTGATGGGTACAGCCAGACGCCTATCACTAGCCACTTGGAAATGCCCATGTCCCCTGAGCCCTGCACTTCCAGCATCTTCCTTTCTCAGAGTCCTAGTCAACACTTGTGGTGTAGTGGAAACTAGCTCTCCTGAGGGCTCTCAGAATCACCACTCTGGATAGGAAACACAAGAGATCCTCAGATTTTAGAAACTGAATGACAAGGGAGAAAACAGGTATAAAAATATATAATAAAGTTTTTTCAAAAAACACATCACAAATGTAAGATACTGCCTTCCTTAAATCTTTCAAAAAGACCAATTTTTCATCAAACAATTGTCAACATCTTTCCCAGAATAAATTTCAGACTATGATATTGTATCATGGCCCCCACCACCGTCATTTAATTTCTCTTGCCTTTAGATTGTTATTTAAGTCATTGCTATTCTTTGTCTCCATTTTTTAATTTTTTCCTTATTTTCACCACTCATTTCTCTACCTTTTTTGCACCTGCCTGCTCCCTTCACCCTGTGCAAATCCTGCAATTCAGCTTTTTAGGACTGAAAGCAACATTTTAATCTCAACTAGGAAGGAAACAAAATAATTTCCAATCAAATTCACAAATGCAGAAATCACCGACAGCAGTCATGTCTTTGATGTTGTCTAACTGTTCTCCCTGCTCTGAATTCAGTCAGAACATAAAGGTTTTTAAAGTCTTATTTCCTTATGTGGTTTCCTGGGCCAACCGTGCCCGAGTCATAGTGAACCTAACAAGACACACAGATTAGAGTTCCTGAGAAAGTAGTAGGTTGTTTGCCTTCTTCAACGTGTCTGACTACTCCCCCCTTGTCTTCCCACTCCCCTCTGCCCTGCTTCCCTCCTGCACAGGCTCCCACTGCCCTGGCTCCTGTACACGGTCATTCACAGATTCCAGCCAGTGGCTGTCAGCAGCAATGGCCTCTTCTGTGCCATCGTCCTTCTCTTCATCATGCTGCTCTTCGTCATCCTCTCCATTGCCCTCTGCAAGTGGCGAATGAACAAAATCCTGGGCTTCATCATGTTTGGCCTCTACTTTGTGTTCCTGGTGGTGAGCGTTCTCCTGGAAGACAGAATTCTTACATGCCCTGTCTCCATCTAGTAGGAAAAGCCATATCTTGCACCAGCAGCGTGAATGATCCCTCCCCACTCTGGGCTCTGGGCTCCTTGACCTCTTGAGAAGAGGCAGCTGGCACACAGCCCTGGGTACCAAGTGTCCCTCCTTGATGGATTTGAGGAGAGATGGATTCACACTGGACCCATTCACTTCACAGGCTGCTTCCACTTTGCCTACTCAAATGACTTCATGTAAGAGACAAAGAGAACCGTCAATATGGGGCTTCTCCCTATTCACCACTGACAGGTACTCCTCGCTGGTCGGAGGTACATTCGATGCAAACAACGACAGAGGCTATATATATATACACCTATAAATATACATATTATAAATATACGCACATGAACACACAAATCCTGCCTGTTCCTGTACTATACCTCTCCTTCCATACCTATAGATTAGTACATACCTGTAAATAAATAGAAAGAAAAATTTTATATATATATAAAATCATATATATATAAAAGTACAAATGCATCTTTTTCAGGGATAGCTCTAGTATATTTATAGTACTTATTTGAAGAGGGGCATCAACCTGCAGTCTGGACTTTACCTCTTAAGTGCAAGAGGAGAACTAATGGAACCAGTAGACAAAGGTAGCATTGCTGTGACCTTCAGCCTGCCTTGGACTTACTGGGATCCTGCCTAGTAAGGTAGATGGTTCAGAGAAATAGTTTGCAGGGAGGAGGGCTTAGTGGAGAAGGTCTGTAGGGCCCTGAATTGAGCCTTCCAAAACATTCCCACAAGCCAAACAGGGAGACCATCTGCTCACCTCCAACTGAGTACCCTGACCAAGAAAGTCAGGGTACTTAGGACAGACAGAGGTTAAAAACCTAGGCTGGGTGGACATTGGTTTGGGGAAGCAGGGAGGTAACCAGGGTTGGGCTTTTTGTTTTGTTTTGTTCTTATATTGTCCCAGCATGCAAGTAGAGAATATGACTACAAACCAAATTAGTGCTTTTTCTAGGACAGCAAGACTATATAAACTCAACCTGTATTTTTCCAGTGCATGTCCCATCATCATCAAAAGAAGGGGGGTAAGTTTAGCTGTGATTGTCATTTAGATATATTTTGATGCTAAGGGCTGCCAAGAGAGCCTAGATGTGTGATAAGAAACCATCCAGTAAAGGTGCTTAGTGGGCCTTGCCACCTAATGGGATGAAAGGGCATAGTTCTTTAAAATGTTTTCCAATGTAGTCATAAAGGGCTTTAGTGTCTGAAGAAATCATTATTCCCAATAGCACTAAATTAACTCTGATCAGCACTGCTTGGGTTGAGACAGATTAGAGATGCTTGGAAAGGCATTTACACACTCAGTGCACCCCAGGAAGGTTTCCGAGTGCTAGGTCGAGTTGTACCAGGACCAGACTTTGGTTAAAGTTCTTGTAACATCTATGTCTCTTCTTCCATCAGGACCTTATCTGGGATTCTGTCTAGGTTTTAGAGTACACTGTATTTGACAGCTTCCTTACACTGGTTTCGAGCTATTCCTCTAACAATTTGATTTCTTGATTTTGCTCAACATTACATGGAATATTTTAATTTCATGCATTCAATGCCCGCAAGTTCTGCATGACACCTTGTGTGACTTCTCAGATCTATGTCAGTAGAAAATAAAGCCAGCAAGGGGGAAAAAAATAGGCAAACTAAATCAGTGGAAAACTATATAGAGCGCTTTTCATTTCTCCAAGTCATGCTTTCTTTAAAATCAGTTGAAAAATTGAATCAAGGATGGTTCATTATTCTGTACCCATCCTATGTCTTAAGTCGGTACATACAGCATATGGGAAATTTCACCGTATGTGTTCCTATCTCCAATCTCTTCTCTCATTGACGCCTGCTATGATTTTCTTGTGACCACATACCTCTTAACATAGGAAGATAGGATGCAGAACTCACAGCGGAATAAGAGGAAAGGTAACCTGACAGCCCCAGATCAAGCTCAGTATTCCTTCCAGAAAACCCCAGCTCACCCCACAGAGCATGGCAATAACAGGAAATGCCCATCATTGCTCTTCACCCAGAAGCAAAAAGCACTTCAAACCCGAGGCCCCCTGGGAAAACAAGAAATCAAGATGGCTGCCAGTCGGAGGCTGGTTTTCACGTCTCTCCAACTCGGCAGAGCGGGGCCTTCAGATGTGTGACAGTGCCTGCCAAGCTATTGAAACACCATCCAATAGAGGCACTCAGTGGAACCTGCCACCTAATGGGAGTGAATCGCATTCATCAAGGTCAGGACTTCGTACTGGGGCAAGAATTTGTGCTGCTTCCTTTGAGTGAAAGAATGAGGAAGTGAACTTTAACGTTAAAAAACTCCAGTTGTTTTCCCTGTATATTTTCTGAAGGGCAGCGAAGTTGGTTATTGTGTGAATTTTATATTATTGACCGGTGTGGTGTTTGAAACAAGGTTTAAATAGGTGACTGACTCAACTGCAAACAGATTATGTAAAACAAAAGTTGAAGGAGACCTGGTGCCGCCCTCTTCTTATTCCCGGTCCTCCCCCTGCTTCCTCACTCCCTCCCATTTATTCCCAGCTCACAGTGAAGAATGATCCAAGCAGCTATGGTGCCCTTTGCTTGTCTCAGAGCTCCACTTCACAGGAAGTGTTGTGGTCTTTCATGTGAAGTTGCATTTGAGGAGACAAAATTTCCAAGCCCCGTTCCCACATCAGTCATGTGCACCGAGCCTGACTTACAATAGCACTGCTCCCTCACTGGATGGGACACAAGTGATTCCACAGCCTGCCCTTGTTTTCCCTTCATTTCTGTATAAGTGGTTATGTGTTGAGCCAGGGTAAATTCAGAGAGATGTGTACAGAGTTCAACAATGGGTCTTTAAACCATTCAAATCATTGGCATAATTATAAGAAAGAACTTTCCACATCATGGTTTCTAAAACAGGACATCTCTAACTCCTTTCCTGCATGCCTGTGTATATACATATATAAATATATATATATCTTTATACCAGATCTATATGTACACATATAATATGACTTACATCATCACCCTCTGACCCCATCACATTCAGGATTCTAAAGCAGGGAGCATCAAGTTTGCCAAAGTCAAGGAAGAGGAAAGTCATGCACACAAACCAAAGGGAACATTTCTTCCTGGTTTCATAAGGTTGTTTGTTCCATGCACGTATACCTACAAATATTCACGTTATGTACCCATATTTTCCCACCCTAAGAATATCGATTTATAGCCTTAAGGAACTCAGTCAGCCATATCCCTAATGCTGATATAGAGGCAAAGAATACACAACAGAAAATACAGAGCAAAAACTTAGACTGCAGATACTCTCTTTGCTTCTCTGGAGCAGGGTATAAAAGATATCAACAATTCAAGAGCCAACATTGTATTAATCCATCTACAGTAAACAAGTTGCACGCAAATGATTTCATTTACTCACAGCAAACCAAGCAGGTCTTGCTTGCTGTCACCACCTGCCCTCCCCCATACTTCCAAGGCAGCAGAGCAGCTTGGCTCAAACTGACAATTCCCAAATAGAAACTCCTAAATTGCATCTGAGAATGCCCGTGCCATCTCCAGCTGCCCTCTGCACCTGACCAGATCCTGATGAACTGAAGCTGAAGATTAGATGGTGTTTATGCAGCTTCCCAGGACCTAAACTGAGTCAGTGACAGAGCAATGATATATGCAGGGAGTAAGGGATAGGGTTGTTTATACTCTCGGCAGATGCAGAATGTCCTAAAGCCTTGCCCAGAAGATTATAAAAAGAGGCGGAGACTGTTTTATATTCAGGGAAAATGCTTTGTAAGGCTTCTAACAGGTGTCACCTGACAAGGGCCATTATAATTTATTTTATAGGGAAGACATGAATCAGGTGGTTTGGAGCCCTTTCAGCAAAACACAGCTGCCTCACTGATTAGACATTTGACAATGTTAATGTACATCCATTCCTGGGCAGGGAGAGAGTTGGCAAACTCCCCACCACTGCACATAGCTTTTAAAGGCCTCTGGAACAGTGTGAGAAGAGGTGAGCTACAAAGGGAGCCCACCTCCAAACCACCTTAACAAGAAGTTGACCAAAGAAATGACACCTGGTAGAGTGGCTGGCCAGATAGAGTTGAAGAAGATGGAAGTTGTGTTAAATGCTCTGCAGAAATTACTGCATTGGACTATCTAACATGGGTCTGATGGCAAGCATTTCAGAACATGTCCGTGTGCTTTCCTCCCCACATCTGCCAAACACACACCCACGTTCCTACACACACGCAAGATTATGTGGATGCTATGCTTCCTTGCACCTGGACAGATTTTTTTCCAGTAAGTAGGTGGCCCTATTATAGGTGGCAGCTCTGTTCTAGAAGAAAGTGAAGCTGTTCTCAGGGTGATTTCTGGAAAAAACAACTCTCTCCTGAAAGCATGCATAGAAGTCAGTGCTCACTCTTGCTAAGCCACATCTTCCTTAGCCATTCAGCTTAGTATTTTTAAAAGATACCTCCTCAACCCCTATACCTCTTTCAACAATATTGTCTTTAATTACTAAATAAGGCCTTGTCATTAAGAGTGGGTTAGGAAAAAAAATAGAATAAGGAAAGGGAAGAAAGGAGATATTAATCTCCTAGGATTCTAAGAAACCAAGTATCACATTGAAATATATCCCTCTGTAGTTTGAAATGGTTACAAATATCAGGCTATGTTTAGCCAATTACAAGAGCCCATATATGGTTTTAGATTTTTTAAAAAAAATAAAAAATAAACCATCTCAGGAAGACCTTGGGAAAGAAAAGTAACCCTGCCCTATTCCACCATCTATTTACAGTTGGCTCCCTGACTCTGCCTCTGCTTCTATCTTTGTGTTTCATTTTTAATCTCGCAGCTTCATATTTTTTAAATATATAGCAAACAAGAAAAGCAATAAGGGAACTACTACATAGCCAGCTCAACTCTATTACTTCTTATTACACCATGGCAATATTCCTTTTTCACCGGGAGCTTTGGACCTGCACAGGTTGCGGCAGGTAATCACCAGGAGCTTGTAGGCATCTGTAGAAATCACAGGCACACTCATGTTTGCTCTAGAAGGACTCTGTTTTCCACACTGACTCCCCCCAGCTAATGTACACACTGGCATTTTGCATGCCTTCCTCACACGTGGGACACCCGCCTTGCTCAGAACCACCCAAACTCCATGGAGGTCCTTAATGTGGTTAGGGACAGATTTCTTAAGAAAG